TGATCATTGTTACCATTATTACCAAGGCCATCTTTTATTTCAAAGTGAGAGCTACAGTGAAATAAGATCACCATACACAACCAGCCCCAAACATGGGTTCTGTACTTTTATAAGAAACCTGTGTGGCCTAAGCACGTCATGAAACACAGAGTATATAGACAACTTTATGATGTCATGAGTCTCCTCATAGTGCTATGTGGTTCCATGGTGTAATGGTTAGCACTCTGGACTCTGAATCCAGCGATCCGAGTTCAAATCTCGGTGGAACCTGAAGTTTTGCTTTGTCCTCCATTTTATATGCCAATGAAATGTCAAATGCTGCAGTTCTTTTAAGCAACATAGAACAGCCAGCTCCTCTCCAGAATGACCGTATCACGACACAAACGACTAAAATCCCGGATTAACACACTAAATACACTGACGGAAATCGCTGTGTTTCTTCCGGGTAACTCAAGCCTCACGCGAAACTTCTCCTTTCAAGATGGCAGCAGCTATGGATGTAGATACGCCAAGCGGCACAAACAGTGGAGCTAGCAAGAAGCGATTTGAAGTAAAGAAGGTACGGTTTCATAGAGTGACTCGGTGTTTTTGTGTTAAGAACCTGTATTATCTTCCAGCAGCCACAAATGATCGTTAACACATCTCACAGCCACTAACTAGCTAGCATACCCGTTAGCTTTCTCGCGCTAACTCCCTGTGGCTTGCCGATAAGGCTGTAGCTAGCTAGCTGTTAGCCTGCTCCAAATAGCTAACTCCCTGTAGCTTGCCGATAAAGCAGTAGCTAGCTGTTAGCCTGCTTCAAACAGTTAACTCCCTGTAGCTAGTAGCTAACTAGCTGTTAGCCTGCTCCAAACAGTTAACTCCCTCTAGCTAGTAGCTAACTAGCTGTTAGCCTGCTCCAAACAGTTAACTCCCTCTAGCTAGTAGCTAACTAGCTGTTAGCCTTCTCCAAACAGTTAACTCCCTGTAGCTTGCCGACAAGGCAGTAGCTAGCTAGTTAGCTGTTAGCCTGTTTCCAAACAGGGCATGAATTTGCACTTCTCTTTTTAGCTATAGCTAAAAAATATACGTAGAGTCTTTAGTGAAGTGACGGATATCACTAACCCTTATCACGATGTAATTAACAAAACAGAAAACAAATCCCCATGTTAACATTAAACCTTGAGTAACGTTAAACAACAAAGCTCTTAACTCTGCGAGCTAAGTTAGCTTAGCTAAACCTGATTTCCGTAGATTGACAGCCCCCGCAAACAGTCAAAAACTGGAATTACAAGACTTCTGTGACTTACTTAAACTGTAATATCGGACTACAAGTCAACCTTAAATAAGGTGTGACTGAATTTTGTGCTTAACTCTCAACAAAGTAGCCGCTAACGGTACCGACTGATTAAACATTTTGATTTGGGAACCCGGCTTTCATGACTACGTTCACCAATTAACATTAGCTACGGTATATCAATAAGATGTAATGATACGACAAGGTGATGTTGCAACTCTTATTTCAGTCAAGCTCTTGAGTTTGTATTTCAGTATGAGGTATGAAAGAAGCAGAGATACTATGCCTTTTCTATTTATAAATTAAATGGCATCTGGCTGAAAATATTAGAATAAGTACAGTAATGTAACAGTATGAAGCCAAACTGTTTTGTGTCACATCATTCAACAGCCCCCTCTACCTACCTACAATTTAATTTCTTTGATTTGGTTCATAAACTCCCAAGTAAAATCTTTCCTATTGACATTTATCTGTAAAGATGACCATCAGGTCAAACATCTTGGGCGCTACTGTTCACTTTCTGTTTCCATATTGTCTGCTGCTTAGATAAGACAAGAGCATATTAAAATGTTTTTATCTGAAATATGAAATGTTGACATGTGTTGTGAAGCTGTTCATTCACTCTGTTCACACCACTGTCAACAAGTCCACTTGCAATGGAAGTGTTGGTCAGATAATTTTTGATTGTGACTCTGATTTTCCCACCAGTGGAATGCTGTGGCGCTGTGGGCGTGGGACATTGTGGTGGATAACTGTGCGATCTGTAGGAACCACATTATGGATCTCTGTGAGTTCGCTTCCACACAGCTTTGGATTCTGACACAAATTGGACTATGAATGTCAAATGACTTTCAGTCATGGCAGCAGCTTTGACAACAAGTGTTAGGCTCTGACTTCCGTTCATCAGACTTGTCAGTGTGTTTTGTGAAATTGCATTGTTGACAGATTTCTCCCTCTCTCCTCAGGTATAGAGTGCCAGGCCAACCAAGCTTCTGCAACCTCCGAGGAGTGCACTGTAGCCTGGGGTGTCTGCAATGTGAGTCTCTACCAGCCTCTAACATATACATGTCTCTGATCGGGCCAATTATGGTTGTCATTTTTTACCCTTCAAGTGCAAAGTGGTTCCCAATAACAGCTTTTCACGAGGCCTCTGGTGTATGTCAGGTGAAATCTAACTTTTAATGTTAACATCACAAACAAAAATTGTCAGAAATTTCAAGAGATGGATATCTTAAATCCTTTGAAAATAAAACCAAAGTTGTCTGCTTGGCTAGATACGACTTGGGCTAAATCTGATTTTTTTGCTCTCGTGTGACATGTTTGATTTTTTTCAGAGTATTGTATACACACAAATTCTATTTTTTGCCTTTGTTTTCTCACCCTCACCCTAAACATATGACAAATTGCTGTCCAACCTCTGCAGCAAATCATTTGCAACATTAACGCTTGTAACACTGTGTCGTTCATTTTTTACCCACATGCCTGTCTCTCACACGTGACTATTTTTGTCGTTCCAACACGCGTATGTGTGACGTTATTGGTTGCTGTGAGGCGTTTCGGGGCAGAGATCTGTCCACACTGATGTCAAACCTGTGTCACTTCAAACATGAATGTTAACAGTCTTGCCAGAAATGTTGGACTGGGAGAAAAAAATCTGAATCAAGCATTAAATCCTGTAATTAAAAGATAGCCTTGGTTAGATATCTAATTAGTTATTCATTTTGACCATGCAGGTTTGAGATAAATTTACATTAACAATAGACAATTAAGTTATACAGTGCATGTTTTTCTCTCCCCCAGCATGCCTTCCATTTCCACTGTATTTCCCGCTGGCTGAAAACGCGACAGGTGTGCCCTCTGGACAACAGGGAGTGGGAGTTTCAGAAGTGAGTATCAGCAGTTGTAGATTCAAATATAACTCTCGAAACTGTAGCACAGATGTATGGCCGTGCATTGAATCTTAGTTTGGCTACAACTAATTTCCTCAGACAGTAAAAAGTTGTGAACATTCCTTTAAGTGAACATCTGTACTGACAGAACATCCTCTCTCTCTCCTTGTTTGTCATGTTTTCACAGATACGGACACTAGCTGTATTATTGCTGATCTATTTCTTGGCTGCTACAAGCATCATCCTTACTGTTTCCCTGTTCACCCTGCTTGTAAGCCTAGTTGTTTTACGCTTATGTCTTTGTTTTGGTATGTTGTAAGTACACAAATAAACAATAATGTTGTCACAAATCAAATCTTGTTTTACTTGTACAGACAGTAGTTTTAGTTTCTGGCGGTTCAGTGTGCTGGTTTGTGAAGCAGGTTTGGGCTGCTGAAAATAACATGGTTCATCATTTACTTTGATGTGTGTGCAAAGACTCATTCACAGCTTGGTTAAATGGTAACTTAGGTATTTTTCAACCTGGACAGTATTTCCCATGTTTTTGTGTTTAAGTGACCGATAGAGACAACAGTTGTTATAACTGGTCCAGTATTGAGTGAGACCACTGCAACCAGCAACGAAATAGACTGCAATGTCTCCACTTGGGTCCACTGGAAGTGTATGTTTTTCCTGACAGGCTCAGATTGTTATTCTGTCTGATGAAATTACAGAAAGGATCCCTACATAGATAGCCCCCGTAAAATCCATTTTGTTTTACCAGAAAGAGCCCCAAAACAACTAATGCCAAAGCCACCAGACTCCATATAAATAAACAGTAATTTTAGCGTGTATAGAGGCAGCATAGTTTCACATCTCACTGGGTGAATTAAGGATTTATTACAACCAAACCAAAGTTGATAATTGTTTGAAAAGTGAAAGGATAAAGCAAGACTGTTTTTGAGTTTTATTTTATTTTTGTTGACTCTGAATTAAATATCTTATATGCTGATAAAATTAACCGCTTTTTTTCAATGGAGTCTGATGATGGTGATTTCAGGGCTGTTTCTGGTTCAACAAAAAGGGAGTCTTAAAAAAGGTCTACCTCTGTAGGGATCCTCTCTATAATGGTGTCAGACACTTATAACAACCTGAGCCTGTCAGTGGCAAAGACGAGCGCTTTTAGTGGGTGTTAATTGATGGTGCATTATTAACTATTACTAACATTTTATTGCAGCTTGTTTCCAACTTAAAAATATGTTCCCGTTAGTCACCTCGACACAAAAACATGGTAGAAATATGGTCCAGGTTGAAAAATAGCCAACCTACCCATTAACAGTTAAATTACATTTTGGTGGACAAAAAGCTGCTCGTTCAGATCAGCTCTGACGCAGTGATCCAGGTCAGTAATCCTCTGGCTGTAAGACAGATGCTCTGTGAGGATTACATGTCCTGGTGACCCACTCTCTATATACTCTCTCTCTTATACTGCAGCACCTGGAGGGACTTGCCTGTATACTCAGGGTTTCTGTCAATCGGACGAAGAAGTAATTTGTTGATGCACCTCGGCCTTTAGGAATGAATGATTTTGACATTTTGTCAACCAAAATGATTGGAGGGAAGAAAAGTGGCAGATTAATCAATAAAGGTTTGGTAACAAGAATTTGAGTTTGTCAACAGAAATATTTCAAATTCAGCTGGTTTACCTACAGTTGAGCTTTACACTGCCCCAAAACTTTTCTCCGTTAAACAGATGAGAACCTGCAGTAAAAATTAGTGTGTTGAGCGTGTTGTTCTGTAAAACTAGTCTGGTTTGTACAAGATGACAACTGAACTAGAGAAGAACATCAAACCTGTTTTGCAGCAACAGAACTTTTATTATTGTGAATCATTTTTCCAACAGGGTCAGACAACAAGATCAGTTAATTTTTTTTCGCAGTTATAATAATAGATCTGATAACAAAAAGCGCTGACAGTTGTGTGTGAGAGTTCGGCTCCACTCGGAGAAAGTAAAGACCAGTAGCTAAACCATCACCACGTATTAAATGGCTGTGAAAATATTTGTGAGCTGGCGTCTTAATGCGGGAGCTCCCAGTTTAGCTGTTGCAGATACAGGTTAAGAAATCAACCTGTGGTTAATAAAGTCCCAGCTGAGACGAGTCAGGAGGAAGCTGTCAGACCTGACTCCTGACCATCGGGTGGCTTAGTCGAGACGTTGCTAAGTTCTAAGTACATTTAAAAAGTTGCCCCACTTTCTCTACATGACACCAAATAACCTGTCACCTGCTCCCCCTGTTTGATCTGCACACAGTGGAATAATTGTTGAAAAGCGTTGTGGCTCTCCAGATTGTTTCACCACGTATCCACTCTCCTCTTGTCTTTGGTCCTTCCCAGTCTATGGCTGTGGTGGGGCTCCAAATTTAGAACTCAGCTTGGTGACGAGGGCCATGATTTTGGGGTTGTTCTGGTACTTGGCGATGTTGGCCGGGTTCTGTGCCACATCCTGGAAGGCAGCCATCACCTCAGGGTCCTGGAGTTCAATACAAAGTACAAACGGGGTCACCTTTATTCATGTAGCGCATTTCAAAATCAGTTTTAAAGACACATTTGAGGATCTGAGTAAAGGCAATGTCAGTGATACCTTAGCGTACACCCACAAAGTTGTGATGAAGCAGGTTAGCTGAGCTTTTAACTCTGAATAGATCATGTCTAACGATTTTTATTACCCTAAACTTTTCAAGAGTAGTCCACCAATTTTGTTTTGCACTATAGGCCTATCGTTCGTGGGACAGATGTAAAGCTCTGACAAACTTCTTTCTGACATCAGTCATCCAGCTCCTCCTCCAGTAAACCTACATGTGTACTTGAACCATCTTACACTGGCAGCAGTGACATCAATCAGAGGGGTGATTTTGAGAAAGTGCACAACTAGTTCAAAAACTTCACCTCAGTTCAGGCAGAGGTGTTTTCTGACTTTGAGGGCATTAACATTGACAGGAGTGATGTCCCGGTTAGTCAGGTTGAGTGGCAGTATTGTGAGCTTTCTTCTAATGGTGTGGCGGCTGTGAGAGCACGTTAGCTGTTCTATGTAGACAGGATCCCCCACCCTCTAGCTTTTTAATCTTTTTGAGTGAACAACAGGATAATACATCTAAGTCCATCTCTATTTGGTGCTGCCAAAGGCTCAAATACACGCTCTGGTGTGTGGAATTAAAACATATCCCTCCCCTCAACATCATCCTCCCCCTGTTACAGTGGGGATGATGATTTTGTATTTGTTGTCCTGTCTGTTTCAGAACTACTGTAACGACCTGCAGTCTTTATGCTAAGCTAAGCTAACCAGCAATAGCTTCACATTTACCATTCAGACATGAGAGTGGTGTCAATCTTCTAATTTAACTTTTGCCAAGAAAGCAAATAATTGTATTTCCCAAAACCTAAACCTTTAAGATCAGTATAACCTAAGCCATGGGACATAGCAGTGGAAGTGGTGGAATGTTAGGATCACCTTCATGGCGTTGAGCACCTCAGGATCCTTCAGGAGATCACCGAGACCAGCCATGCCGGGAGGGGCTCCGCCTGGGAATCCAGCAGGTCCTGCAGAATATAAATGAGACTCATTAACTGTAGCAGCGCTCATTATTGCGCTTACAGGTGCAATCACATCTGTCTGATAAATTAATGATGAACAACAGCACAGAGAAATAGACTGCTACTTGAGGATGTAAATATAATACTGAGGTCAAACTGAACATATGACTCAAAATAAACAAAGACCTCTAACTCTCAAGGACATGATTCCTCAAAATGAGACTGTGTACCTGATAAATTTTATTTAATGTGTATAAAAGAATGAATTATTTTCCACAGGGTATTGCTTCTGTTATAATTGACATTTGGAGTGTTCGTCTCATCCCATCATGCACTGAACCGGCTTGTTTTCACCTCCTACCTGGGAAGAACCCTCCTCCAAACTGTCGTGCTTCCTCATCCTGCTGAGACACAGAAGAACAGGATCAGTTTATCAGTGTCAGACACATTCAGTAGTGGCTTCTTCGTTGTTTTATGAGCCTTACTGAAAACTCTCATTGTGAAAATGGTAACGGCGTTTTATTCACGTTCAAAATGATGAATCCATGAATTTAGATGATGCATTTGTTTGTACTAAGAGGTGGGAAGTATCTCACCCTCTGAGCCCGTGCATGCTCCTCTCTGGCTTTCTTTATCCGCTCTTGTTTTTGCTTGATCTCCTTCTCTTCTCTCTTACGCTCGTATTTGCGTCTGTGCTCGATAATTTTGTTAGCCTGAAAAAACAAAAAAGGGGAAACATGACAAGATTAACACAGACCTGAAACTCACAGCTGGGAGCATCAGCTTTCATTCCCTGTCAGCCTTCAGGAGCTTCTGAAGCCCTCAAACACTCAAACTGTTTATCGGCATCAGGATCATGTGAACACTGAAATAGATCACACGATATGAATCCTCTACTCTGAGCTTACACACACATAAATAAACATATCTGTATTACAGCTATATTTCCTCTTTTCTCTGGCATTATACCTTAGGCTGGACCTCCTTCAGCATCGCACTGGCGTCCTCGTCATAGTCCAGTTTACAGGCTGTGGCCAGATCCTTGGCTGCCTCCTCCCAGTGGCCCAGCAGCCTGCAGCGCGCACACATACACACACACACACAAGGCAGAAAGCAAAACATAGCACTGTCAGATCTCTTACCATATGGCAAAAAACTGCGTGAATTCACTGACATATGAGGCCTTTAATAGTTCACCCATCCTCAAACTAAGCTAACAGCAATCTTACATACATCGCTCTGTGTGATCAGTCTAATAAAAGTCTTGATTACAATCTGTGTTAGACTGCGATATAATCAAGAATAAACGTACAACATTTTTCAAAACTGGTGATAACAGTCTTTTCATGCTGCACTCTGATTGGCTGCTTTGTCGATGTGTGTCGTGGCAGTCATGTTCTACAAATCTGGTACTGCATCTCTGACAGTTATGATTCTGATGCAGGCCGTCTTTGGTCACCAAAGCTCTACAAACAGCCACTGGTGGACGTGCCTCACAGTGCAGACTAGGGCCGTTTTAGTCAAAGAAATCATCACAACTGTCAGCTCATATTAACACAGTGAATAGGGGCCTTAACCCTCTGTTAAAGATGTACTGTACCACCTCTTCTAGCAGACTGCAACACATTCTGTATTTATGTCTTGGTACTCCTGTAAAGATGTTTATGCTGAGATAGCCCCAATTTGAGTTTCTTAGTCTGTTGAACCAGTGCTACAAACGCTGTGTCGGTTAAAATAAAAACGCTTTGTCAAAATTTAATAACTGAGGGAACACATTTTGCTAACAAGGCAGAAAGTGTCCCCTCTCGTCCCCCTTTAAACTGACTGATTACACAAGTTGAATGACAGCAGCCAGGGGGAGGAAGGGGTCTGGTTTGGTGACCTCTGACTTGCGTCTCTGCTTTTTGCAGATGATGTGGTTCTGTTGGCTTCATCACACTGTGACCTCCAGCATGCACTGGGGTGGTCTGCAGCCGAGTGTGAAGCGGTCAGGATAAGAGTCAGTACCTCTAAGTCTGAGGCTGTGATTCTCTGGTGGAAACTGGTGGATCGCGCCCTCTGGGTTGGGAGAGAGTTACTGCCCCAAGCGAAGGAGTAACTCAGGTTTTTGTTCATGGGTGAGGGTAGAATGGAGCGTGAGATAGATCAGGTGTTTGGCACAGCGTCAGCAGTGATGCAGGAGCTGCATCGGACCATCGTGGTGAAGACGGAGCTGAGCCAGAAGGTAAAGCTTTCAATTTACTGGTCACTTTGCGTCCCAACCCTCACCTATGGTCATGAGCTCTGGGTAATGACCAAAAGAATGAGATCACAGAAACAAGGGGCAGAAATGAGTTTCCTCTGTGGGGTGGCTGGGCTCAGCCTTAGAGATAGGGTGAGGTGCTTGGATATCCGGAGAGAGCTCGGAGTAGAGCTGCTGCTCCTTCGCTTCCCAAGAGGTTAGCTGAGGTGGTTCAGGCATCTGGTCAAGATGCCTCCTGGGCGCATCCAAGTGATGGGAGGTTCTGGGCCAGACCCAGAACACTCCCGTCTGGCCTGGGGATCCCACAGGAGGAGCTAGAAAGCGTTGCTGGGGAGAGGGACGTCTGTAATACTTTGTTCTGCCTGTCGTCACCCCCCCCCCCGACCCGCCTTCAGATAAGTGGTTGAAAATGGATGGATTGATGGTAAATGACAGCAGCGCACTCAATGAGTAAACTTAATGCTTCCAGCTTTACTGAAAGCAACACTAATATAAATTTATTCTACATCACTGGTCCTGCTGTAACACTGAAATATTAATGCTAGCAGTCAAACAAGATGAGGTGTGTCATACTTGTGAGTGTTATTTGGTTATGTTGTGTGGGTGCCAAGGTGTAAAATAGAAACGTACTTGTGAGCTTTTCCCCTCCACTTGTAAGGCTGTGCAGAGTCTGGGTTGATGCTGATGGCTCTGTCACAGTCTCTAATGGCTGCGTTGGGTTTCTTCATCTGGATAAAGACGCTAACACAAAAAGGACAACTGATTAAACTCACAGGCCTTGTTGAGTGTTATTTAAATGCTCTGCCATGGTGAACCTGAATGACAGACTCCGAGGACTCTCACCTTGCCCTCTTGGCGTACATGATGGCTACACAGGGGTTCAGCTTGATTGCTTCGGTAAAAAGATCCAGAGCTTTCTGCAGATCGCCTGCAAGAGAAAACAAAATTGGTATTAGAGATCATAACTTTAATTCACTTTTGAGCACCTTTCCATTCACCTAATCAATACAGAAGCTATATCAGTACCAATCTACCTTCTCCTAAAGCATCAATGGCTGCCATCTTCTTATCACTGGCCTGGTCCATCATCTCCTCTGTGACCTGAGGAAATCATGATGTACGCTTGGTTATTTTCCAGGCATAAAATCTCATTTAATAAACTGAGAGAAGAGGGTTTGAGTGTGAATAAATGTATGCATGATTAATAGATAACATAAAAAAGCAACAACATTTTACCTCGACATTTTCCATCTCTCCCATCTCCTGCGGTTCATCATCGTCTGGTTCGATCACCCCCTCTCTGTCGATTTCTAAAAAAAGATTTGACACTTACAATTAGCTCTTGTTGGGACACACACACACACAACATCCATTACTGCTGATCAAACCACTGTAATAAGGATGTACAGGTATCAAGTGTCGTACATTTACTGAGAAAAAAAATCTGCATCTGACCGCCCTGAACCTCACATAGTTAAGTATGACGACTCTTGCCCACCCAGGAAAAATAATAAATGAATTTAAGTGATGTATAAAAATGGGGACATATTTGCAAACTGTGAAAAAGCAGATATGTATGGAATAAATAAAGGGCAGACTCCTTGGCTTTTTCATTAGCTTGAGATTGGAAAAAGCTAGCCTGGTGCTATCAATAAAGAGACAAAAATCCAAGTCTTAAAACAACATTACATTGCTTTGCTAGGAGTTAAGGGTGGGTGATACGGCCCTAACATAATATCACATTATTTCAGGGTATTTTAGTGATAATAATATTCTTGACAATATGGAAAATTATTTAAAAAAAAAAAAAAAAAAAGTACTGTTGATTTAAGAAAAACGAGTTGCAATTTGTGCTGCTGCCAGAGGAGCCACTGAATGAGTTCCCTCTGCAGGGAGGGTAAGTTGCTAAAAGAGTTTGAGAAATTCGGGGCTGTTCATAAAACATTCAGGACGCCACAGTTTATCCCACACTACTGAAGCTGCTCCTCTTTTTGGAACCACCGCGGAGTCTGTAATAATATCACTTTGAGCCATGCTTATTGTTGCCGTGGCTAACAGTTTGACATCAATATGCCAACAAGTTGAAATATCACGATATGAATTTTTCATGTGATATTAAAAATTACACTAGTATTATTCTGAACAAGATGATACGGCACACCCCTAGACACCACGTTGGTTCGGATCCAAAAGACACACAGTAACACAAACAAACTAACAACTATACAGCAGTAGACGAGTAATTCCCCTGTTCTGTGAGGTAAAATTACTGTTCTCCTAAAGCAGTCTGGTGGCTTTAAACGGTCCCCGATGGAAAGGGCTGACGACAAAGTGGAGCGGTAAAAATATTTAAACGATAGCGTACATTTAAACTGATACTGTTGGTGGTCCTTTCAGATATTATTATCAGCGCTTTAACCTACGTCAGTGGTTCTCAACCAGGAGTCCAGGGACCACCAAGGGTCTTTCAGGAAGTTCCAGGGGGTCACCAGAAAAATGAAGAATACTCTATTTTCACAATTTAGTTCCCTATAGATGTAAGCCAAATGTGAATAAGAGTCGTGACAGTGACTATTCTGATCATGGGTTTCACTTCCTCTACCGTTACCTCCTCGACTGTGGCTGACAGCTACATAATTCTGGTCTTAATCATATCTAACAACCAAATCTTTTCAGATGGAGGTCCCTGAAGAAAAATCATACCAAATGGAGGTCTGTACTGAATGTATATCGTTTTAGGGGTCCTTGACAAGAATAAAAGTTTAGAACCACTGACCTATATCACTACGTTTTGCCAACGGCTGAGAGTCAGTTTCCATTTGACAAACCCCTAAAAGAACGCAGATGAGTCAATCTTAAAGAAAACTGTGTGTACCTATATCACTCTCCTCACTCTCAGACTGCACAGCAGGCTCTGGCTCAGGAGGTGGAGCTGGAGCTGATGTAGGAGGAGGACCACAGGGACAGCCGCCCTACAAGTCAGAGAGCGCTCTGTTACAACATGATGTGACAAGCATGGGAAAAAAATCTTAATCATCAGATGTTTTCAATAAATGGCATAATTAAAATATTCACGTGTTACCTGGCATGACTCCTTTGTCTTGGGTGGGGGAGGGAGTGTTGCACCCATGCTGCAGTATAAAATTATGTAAACACTTATTTTATTTGCTGGATTTTATTTGCCAAGACAGATATTTTAATATGGTTATTTTTTTCTATGAACATGTGCTCAATAAAAATGCCCAGAAAATGTATTCATATCACAAAAATATATTCATCCATATTACAATACAAACACATATATACTGTTACATAGTTAAGGTTATTTTCCTTTCCCTGTTGCCACTTCATAAATCTCATTTATAAGAGTTATCTTTATCTTTTTTTCCCCAATTATTTTCACAATTAATTGTTGTTTTAATTTTTTATTTTATTTCTACTCATAGATTTATATTAGCGGTGTCAAAACAACTGATTTATTAATACATAGATTCTGAATATTTGAGACTGTCTCAGTACTCATTTTCTGCAGTATTAATACACTGGTTCCAGCTGTGCTTTCTTGATCTCCCTTATTATCAATGTTACAGTCATTCTGCTGTTCTCTGCAAGTAACCAAGAAAAGTCACATTATAGCATTGTTATATTTATCTGTTAATAAAAGACTTGTATGCCCTCAGTATCATTTGTCCCGTTATCAAAAAAGGTATCTAATATTGCTATTTTTAAAAGTATTGTATTAAAGTTAGAAATGACAATGTTGTGACAAAACTTTTGTATTTGCCTCAATTTTTTATAGCTATTCTTATTTATTTATGTTTTACATATATATACTAATTCTGACATTGTACAGCTGCAACACTTAAATTGCCCCTCTATTGATTAACCCTTTGAAACCTGGAGCAACATCCCTTTTCTTATGCTGTTTTCTGACATCTTTCACAAGTATTCAAACCCTTTAACTTGGTGTGATTGCTTTTAAAATGTTAGAAAAAGGCACTGAACAACTTGGTAAGAAATGTGCCATAAATTGTGAAAAAATAAATAAATAAAAATAAAAATAAATCTAAAAAAAAAAAACTAGAAAAAAAAGTGGGAAAAATATATTTATAGTAATTATTATTATTATTACATTTTAAAACTATGTTTCAGGATTATTCTAATTTTCAAGCACTCTTTCTAAGCTATTTCCTTTTGTGTTTGTTTTAACTCTTTTCTTTGTTTTATTTACTAATTTCTTGTTTTTTTAATTTTCTATTTTTGCTAATTTTCTTGCTTGTAATTTTCTTTTCTTTTTTTTAACTAATTTCTTATTTTTTAATTTTCTTTTTTTAAAATTAATTTTCTTGTTTTTAATTTTTTTTTTTATTTATTAATTTCTTGCTAATTTTTTTTTTGGGGGGGGGGGGTCATTTGTTCTTTTGTTGCTCATTGCTTTCTTCCCATGTTTTTAAAATAAATCAAGCCAATTTGCTCAGGTTTCAAAGGCATAATTAAGTCTTGCCTTACTTTGGGTCTATAAAATGTCAAAAACAGATCCCAGAACATGTGGTGATCAAACTGTCTTCAAATTGTTCTGTCAAATTAATAGACCCTAAAGAGTTTCACCAGAACATATTATAATTTGAGAAGTTAGAACCAGAGAATTTGGGCCATTTATGGTTGTGAAATCAAACAAGTATTTATGTAAATTGACTTTGTTGCACTACTTTATTTACGACAGTGTTTTACTTGGTGGCAAAAAAAAACAAAAACCTTAACCACACCTAAAATTTTATACTAACCATGGACTTTCTGAATCCAAATTTTTGACAAAGTGTAAATGGTTCCTGTGTGTTTTGACTAGTTACTTGTCCTAATGTAAATGATCAAAGATAAAGAAACACTCCCTTGTTGAATCAAGAGTTTGACACACACACAATCCTGTACTTCTATCTTTGTGAGGACCCTCACTGACATAATGCAATCCCTAGCCCCTTACCTACAACTAAATGCCTAACCCTTACATTAACCTGAACCCTTAAACCAAGACTTAACCCTTAAACAGACCTTTGAAGAAGAAAGGACTGACCAAAAATGTCCTCACTATGTAGCATGTACAAGTACACACACACACACCCTGTGGTCCATGGTTTTTACTAGAAGGTGGGCGGGACTGGGCACGTGGTCTGTTGGCGACTTCATCTAAGTATTTTAGTAATGTAGTGAAACGTAATGCATTCACTTAAGAAGAAATAACGTGATTATTATGTCAATTGTGAAAAATGTTTTCATGTGACAAAAATCTGCACTTGTTTTTCCTGAGTTCATGAAATAATAACCTCTTTTTGCATCATGTGAGTGCATTATGCATCTGTGCGTTAGTGACATAATGACAGAATATATCCCTATGAATCATTTACATAACAGCCTGGACACATGCACGGTGCGTTGACAGGTTGGAGCAACAGTTCTGCCCCCAGGTGTACTGACCTCTCCAACCAGGTCCGGAAGAATGCCATCTCTGGAAGGTGCAAGAGCTCCGGGTTGGACTCGCACATGTGCACGAAGCCCTTTAATTCTGCCACTTTCCGTGGGTCCATGTTGCCCTATCACGTCCAGCACACAGCGCGCTGCATGTGGAGGAAAACCAGCAAGAAAAACAAGGAACAACTTAGCCAAGTCTGGCTTTGTTTACGTACGTGCTCACCTGCTAACGTTAATGCCCGCGTTGTTAAGCTAGTTATGCTAACGTGCACAGGTTCAATGACCGTGCGCTGCAACCACACTTTATTCACACTTACAATTCAGGGGCTAGCAATGAAGAAACCATTTAAAACGACTGTTAACTGCAATCTCAATGGTCGCAAACCAGAAGTTTCTGGAAATGTGAGTCCAATGGGTGACGCGGTAACTGTTTGACGCATGATAGCATCGTTAGCTAAGTTAGCTTCGATACGGGCCGTGGTTAATGACAAACACTTGCTAGCTGCAACCGTTAATGTCAGTAATCGATGAGAAACGCACCTGATCGAAGCTGTACACCTGTCACACCCGAGAAGAAACCCCGCAGAGGAAGGCTGCAGTTGATTTTTATCTCCACAACTCGGCTTCACCGACGGTGTCGTCGCTCCCGTGTTTTCATTCAGGCGAGCTAACGGACAGACTGACAGGAGGGATGTGAAATGTGCTGCCCGGAGTTTGGCCTCGCAGGCATACACAACCGGAAACGGTACATTACATGTGTAGTGGTTGATGCCAAACGAATGAAAGCCAGACATTGGTTATTGGTAAAAAAAATAAAATAAAATAAAATAAAATAAAAGCCTTTTCAACATTACAATATTATTATTATCGATCCATCCATTTTCATCCGCTTATCCGGGGCCAGTCACGGGGGCAGCAGGCCAAGCAAAGCACCCCAGAAGTCCCTCTACCCCGAAACTGTTTCCACGTCCTCCTGGGGGACCCCAAGGCATTCCCAGGCCCGATGAGATATATAATCCCTCCAGCATGTTTTGGGTCTGCCTGGGGGCCTCCTACCAGTGGGATGTGCCTGCAACACCTCTAACAGGAGGCGCCCAGGATGCATCCTGATCAGATGCCTGAACCACCTCAATTGACCCCTTTCGATGTTAAGAAGCAGCGGCTCTACTCCGAGCTCCCTCCGGATGTCCGAGCTCCTCACCCTATCTCTAAGGCTGAGCCCAGCCACCCTTCAGAAGAAACTCATTTCGGCCACTTGTGTCTGCAATCTCGTTCTTTCAGTCACTACCCAGAGCTCATGACCATAGGTGAGGGTTGGGATGGACCAGTGAAGCAAAAGTTTCTGGCTCAGCTCTCTCTTCACCACGTAATTTTAATACATATATACCATAAAACTTCAAATAGTAACCTTGTCCCAATTAAACGGCTAGTCGCTTTTACTAGCATGTCTCAATCAGACACCTGATCTGGTTAAGCAGTTCATTTTTTTATTACTAATGAAGTTCTTCAGATGTATAAAACCAGGTTGTTGGTTACCTCAAATTATACGTCCATTCCTTGACTACACTGTAAGTTATTCATATTCCTTTAGTCCCTACGGGTCCTTAGATCAAAAGAGTCAAAAGGGTTTTTCATAAAAATTAATCCAAGTTGTGAGTATTGTTTTAACAGGATAGACAGTGGTGGTGTGTCGGTATGCCTGGTGCCGAAATCCTACATTGTTGTAACTGTCCGTCAGAGCTACACCAAATTCCTCGTTGATATATTAGCTAAAGCCGAATTTGTATACAAGTAATATTCATACTGGTTTAAATAAACAGTTTGATTGTATTTGAGCAAGAGTTTTGTGTGAAAGCAATTAAAGGCCTGTCCCAAATAGGCCTGCTGATCTCAGTGATTTAAGCAGATAATAGCCCGGGCTATTAATTGAAGTTTTACGGTAATTACTAATAAGTTAAACCTTGAATAGACATAATGATACAAGTGCTTGCACAGCCTGTAGCCTCACAAAACAATTTGATTAATTTGCATAATATTTTTGCATGTCCTGAACAAAACCGTAAAGCTTTTTTAAATGCTGAGGCAACTATATTGCACATATTTGTGATATTATAGTATATTTTTTAAAGTATCTTTGCTCTTTTATTTTATTGCAGTATTTTGCCTTACTTTTTGCCTCGATATATGTTTATTGTATGTTTAATGTATGCACCATAACCAAGGCAAATTCCTTGTAAGTTAAAACCTACATGGCACTGAATCCTTCTCTGATTTATTCTCATTCTGAAGGGTAAGCTGATTATAAGTACAGTGCTACCTGCGAGTCTAAATTTAGGGAAAAAAGAAATACCATCCTTACTGTGAGGGTTTTTTTTACCCCTGAGTTTGGGCTCTCAGGAAGTTCTCCCAGACGCTCACCGACAGCCTCCACCAATCAAATGGTTATGTTTTGGTTTCTCATGTACTGGACTTCCCAGAGCTGCCAATCATTTATAGCTCAAGATATGATCATTCATGTTTTTGTGACCTGGATTAAAGACAGTAATGTATAACATATGAAAAACATTAGCAAGACTACAATATGAAACTACTCTGTTGTAAGTAAAAGAAAAATGCCCACTGTGGCTGGTAAAATATCATATATCACAGGTCTGTTACTGGATTGTTATTACTGATGCATTAACAGTAAAAGCAGCATTTTACTGTACTGTACATCACATTCATACTTGTAAGTGGAAATGATGCACTCCATCTTTCACTGTGTTTAACGTCTCTTTCCTTGCTCTCTTGTGCTCCATTTTTGTTAATTGGATTTTTTCTCCTTTTTATTTTTGTTGCCTTTTTTTCTTAATATTTGTACTGTATCATCGTTTTGACCTTTGACTCCTAATTTCTTTTCTTTTTTATAATTCAAATTTTTATTGATTTTATTTACATTCAATCTTGACAAACAAAAATAAAAATACTATACAAACAGGGTAATAGAGATCGGTGCAAGACAAGGTACAGCACCAGCCCCAGTCTGCCAAAAAACAATAAAAATAACAAAATCAAATTTGAATAAATAAACATATTTTAGTGGAAGAATTCAATGAAAGTATAGATCTAGTATGGCAGAATATGGGAGCTTTAATAGAAATACAAAGAAGAAGAAAAGGAAGCAGAAGAAAAAGAAGCAGAAGAAGAGGAAAAAGAAGCAGAAGAAGGAAAAAAGCAGAAGAAGAAAACGAAGCAGAGGAAGAAGCAGAAGAAGAAAAAAATGAAGAAAAGGAAGCAGAAGAAGAAAAGGAAGCAGAAGAAGAGGAAAAAGAAGTAGAAGAAGCAGCAGCTTCGGCTCTGCCAATCACAGCAAAGGGGCGTGGCTTAGCATCTCTGCCTGTGACACCAAACTCAGGGCATCAAACTCCCACCATTTTCGAATGACGTTAGCTAACATGGGAGCTTCAAGCTAACGAAGCTAACTGTCAACCAAAGGGACATTTAACAGTTATACGAGTCGGTTTTAACGTCGGTAAGTCCTAACAACATACCGCCACGTTGACTCCGTAAATATCCAGCGTTTGTTGAATACTTTATACTTCAATGGCTGTTACCTCATGTCTGTAGCAGGACGACATGCTGTGACTGAGCGGTGTCCTCCACTACAGCAGCAATGTTGCCCTCAACCAGCAGCCTGGTCCGGTCTGCTGTCAGGCTGCTGCCGCGGAGAAACTGGAGCCGAGGTGAGCCCACTTTGACACTTTGGGTTTGTCTGTATTTAAGTACACAATTAAGTTATTTGTACTTTTGAGCATTTTTATTCTATGCTACTTGATACTTCTACTCTCAATACATGTGAGAAGGAAATATTAAGGTATTAGTCCACTACACACTCCAAACAGTTGCTAGGTAGTTTTCATAGAACCGCATTTATGAGGGATTCACGATAATATCGAAAGGTTATCAGTATCGGTCAACATGCTGCTTCTTACTTTGCATAATGAATGAATATTACATATATTGAAAAGTATTGTATTCCATGTCTCCATCTGCTGGTGGGCCATCATGATCAGAGTATACATGTGTCATATGATGTTAATTCCACTACAGAAGAGACTTGATGATCACTAAAATTGGGTGGGGAAAAAAGTAGATTTTTCTATATCAATATCTGTTACGGGTTAAATAAGTTGTTATATATCGGCATATCAGATACCTGCAAAAAAAAATCCAATATTTTGTAATGTTACGAACATACAGCCTATGGTTGCAAATTAAATCTCACTGATGGGCCAGTTTGACTCACTATTTACTTTAACTTTGATTATTTAGGTACATTTCTATTGATAGTATTTTTACTCTGATGTATCTGTTACTTTTACTTTAACTCAACTTAATTTATATAGCACCCTCCATACAAACATGTTCCAAAAAGAGGAGCAGCTTCAGTAGTATGGAATAAACTGTGGCGTCCTGAATGTTTCAAGAACAGCCTGGATTTCTCAGACTCTTTTAGTGACTTACAGCTCAGAGGGAACTCATTCAGCAGCTCCTCTGGCAGCAGCACAGCATCTCTCCCTCTCCTCTCTCGCTGTACGCACATGTCATAAACCTTTGGTAATGTAAACCTACGTGAGGCTCGCGGCTCAACAAAAACTCCATATATGTGAATGTGTGATAGTTGTGGTATCATAACAGCCTGTCACAGGTGATTAGAGGAGAAATGGCAGAACATAAAGGTCCAGGGACATTTTTTGTATTTGGGAGCTGTTTATATGTGTAATTTGAGGTAGATTTTTTTTTGTTGTAGTATTAATATTGTATACAGAATCTGAATTTCACTCTGAGTTACTGTTGTTGTTCACAAACTAAATAAATGAGAGACCATTTTAGTTTCTTTTTTACTGAATATTTGAAAATAAACTGATAAACAAGTAAAACTATCACTTATTTTGTTGTAATACTATTTTCTTAAATTAATAATAAAAAAAACCCATCAAGAATATGGTTATCACAAAAACGCCCTGAAATATTGTGATATTATTTTAGGGCCATATCGTCCACCCCCAACAGACATAGTTGTAAGGATAACACAAATCATTATACATAAGTGAGACGATAAAATATTAAAAAAGTCAGTCAGACAAAACAGATCAATCTAACACAACGGATGATTAAAAATTTGTAGAATAAAAAGAAAGTAAATAAATAAAATAGAATAGAAATAAACAGGAGGGATAAAATGAGGTAAAAACCAATGGTTAAACACTTAAAACTGAAGACTGTGATTTTCCTTTAAAAAAATACTGAGAGAGTTTGATTTCTAATATCCAGAGGCAGTGAATTCCACAGTTTAGGGACATAAACACAGAAAGCGCTCTCTCCAGGACTTTTACGGGACACATGAGGAGCATTTAAAAACAAAGCACTGGAGGATCTTAGTGATCTGGTTGGAAAATAAAATGATAGAAAGTCTCTAATGTATGGAGGGTTGAGGTCATTTAAAGCTTTATAAACACGTAAAAATGTAAATAAAATATAAAAATTGAAATTAAATAATAAATTAAATAGAACACTTGGGAGTGATACACATGATATTAATCTTTATCTGTCTTCACTTGGTATGAAACAGTGATGTTGTGATGTATCAGATCAGTTCAATCAGCTGCAGCGCTGTGCTGTCCGATCAGTAACTGATATCCAATCATTGGGCTGTGTTGGTTTGTAAAAGACTTCCATGGAGGCTGCACTCGTGTATCCTCACTTCCTTTCCCTCCTCTCTCCTCGGCTCTGCCAAGTGCATTTAACAAATTGAGACGTCCTTCAAAATGGTGGGTGTCAATTAATTTCTAGGTCAAGTGATCGAGGAGAGAGGAGTTGAGGAAGGATACTGGGATGAACCCTGTGTTGTGTTGCTGTCTGCAGGATGTGTTTGGTGCCCGTGCAGAAACATTTCTGTGAAACCAGGAGGTTTGAAACCAAAGACAGTTCCTCCTCGGTACCTGGGCCAGCCCAGCCCCTTCACCCATCCACATCTCATCAAACATGGTGAGTACTGGAGCGCAGGAGCTATTATGAATCACAGATAACTCAAGGCTCTTACGGTTAACACATTCAGTCTTCACTCTACACCTCATGTGACATAAAGAAATAAGAACACATCAACAAGGCGAATAGTAGTGTAGGCATGAGATGCTGTTCACCACTGAAACACCACATATGTGATCTCTGCTCCTCAGGTGAGGTGACCCCAGGCTTGAGCCAGACAGAGTACGAGCTCCGCAGACACAGACTGGCCTCACTTATCGAGGCCCAGTCAGACAGGCTGGGACCCTCTGCCTCCTCCAGCACCCATGTGGTCATCGTTTTGTCCCATCCGACCCGCTACATGACCAATGACATCCCTTATCCCTTCCACCAGAACCAGGTGCATGTTTATATTCGCTCTAAATCTTAAAGTTACAGTTTAAAACACCTTATCTAACATAAACAGAAAGCAATGTGCAGATAGAAACTTAAAGTATAAGAAGAGTTGTCTGCTCTTACTTTGCAGTCTCATGTTTGTAATTTCTTGTCAGTTCTGTGTAATGTTAACAAGGCTTCCAATGTTCTGCAGGATTTCCTCTACCTCAGTGGCATCCTAGAGCCAGACAGTGCCCTGGTTCTTTATGGAAAAGGGCGACCAGACCAGGCCATCTTATTCGTCCCCCGCAGAGACCCAGGCAGAGAACTGTGGGACGGGCCCCGGTCAGGAAAGGACGGGGCGGCTGCTTTGACCGGCATAGAGAGAGTTCATAGCACAGAAGAGCTGTGTGTTGTGCTCAAGAGCCTTAAAGGTGGGAGTGTGAGGGTGCAATACATTTGTCATTGAATAAGGTGTTGTGTTGCTTCGTTTTGAAGTGTTTATTAAGCCCCACCCATCTTAGTTACTGTTGGTGCACCTGTCAAGCCTTCTGATCGAGTACTGCATTTGTTTTTTAAAAGATTCAAGCTGTCAGATCATATCATCTTGTCACATGATCACATAGAGACCTGATGTGTTTTTGAGCAGAAAACACGAGCTGACATTCGACGACTAACTAATCAGAACTTCACTGTTGCCATTTTTTCTCTGCGTCGATCCTCTTTCAGGCAATATGCTGTGGTACGACAGTTCTAAGCCCGCCCACCCTCGCCTCCACCAGGCTCACGTGAGTCCCGTACTGGAGGCGGGGCCGGTGCCGCACTCTGTCAGGCCCCTCATACACTCCCTTAGGGCCCTCAAGAGCTCAGCAGAGGTGGCGCTCATGCAAGAAGCAGGTCACATCACAGCACAGGTTGGTGTTTAAATCACTGTGTTAGTTTCATAATAGTTTGCAAACAGGGCAACATTTTCATTTTTGTATTGTCATGTGTCTCTTTATGCTTCCTAAGATAGATACAGTGTTGTTTCTCTATCTCATATCCTTGTCTCTCAGGCCTTTAAGAGGACGATGGCCATGTCTCAAGGAGACATTGATGAAGCTGTAATCTTTGCCAAGGTAACTGAAAATTTAGCCGGGGTATTTTTTCTGAATCATGATGGAATTAACAATAGCTACTGCATGAAATAATTAACCGTCTTACAAAGATGGCAGTTTATTAAAGCTCAGAGATTACCAAGCCAGAGTGAAGTTACTGTGGTTTGGTTTTTACAGCTCTGTTTTTTAGTCACTGCAAATTAAGAAGATGTTTTCTCAGAAATGACACATTATTATACCATGATTTTATATATATATATATATATATATATATATACTAAAACCTTCTTCAACCTTTAGTTACTGCGTCTTGATTTTGTAGGAAAGTATAGATGACAGCAAACATGAAGCTCTCACAAAGAAAAAAAATCTTCTGTTAATCTTCCAGTTTGATTTTGAGAATCGGATCCATGGCGCCAACTTCCTGGCCTACCCCCCTGTTGTTGCTGGAGGGAATCGAGCCAACACTCTGCACTACATAAACAACAACCAGATTATCAAGGTAAAGGAATGTGTTGAATGTGCTCGCAGATCTGTCCTGACACATGAGGTGCAGTGCACATCTGCACTAAGCATTCTGGTGGTTATGTACACTGCTCAAAAAAATTAAGGGGACACTTAAATCACACATCAGATCTTGATGAGGAATTAATCATGTTGAAAATCTTTACTGATGTACACTGTATAATTTGTTGAGAACAAAATGACATAACAACAGTCAGTGGAAACCAAAATCATCATCCCACTGAAGGCTGGATTCAAAATCACACCAAAAAGTAAAAGTTTGAAATCACAGGCTGATCCAACTTGTGTGAATTTCATCACAGCAGCTCATAACGTGACTCAGTAGTGTGTATGGCCCCTGTGTGTCTGCATGGAGTCTGTTTCTGACAGAGTAGTCAGAAACATGCACACCAGTAACCTGCTGGAGGTCATTTTGTAGGGCTCTGGCAGTGCTCCTCCTGTTCCTCCTTGCACAAAGGAGCAGATACTGGTCCTGCTGCTGGGTTGATGCCCTTCTAAGACCCTGTCCAGCTCTCTTCGTGTAATGGCCGGTCTCCTGGTATCTCCTCTATGCTCTTGAGACTGTGCTGGGAGACATAGCAAACCTTCTTGCGACCACATGTATGGATGTGCCATCCTGGAGGGCTGCAGGTACAGCCTCATGCTACCAGTAGTGACAAGGACACTAGCAGAAGACCAAACTAGAGAAGAATCAGTCAGGAAGGATAAGGAGAGAGCAACTGTCTGTGGACACCACATGTAAAGCCATTCCCTTTTGGGGGTTGTCTTGCTTTTGCCTCTCCATTGCACTTTATTTGCACCAAAGCAGCTGAAACTGATTCACAATCACTTGTGCTTCCTAAATGGACAGATTGAAGTTTAACTGACTTGGTGTTATACTGTGATGATTAAGTGTTCCCTCAGGTTTTTTGAGCAGTGTATGTAAAGTAGTGACCGAATATCTTAACCCACTCATTATACTCTCATTATCCCCCCTCTTCCCCTCTTCCATCAGGATGGTGAAATGGTTCTGCTTGATGGTGGTTGTGAATACTTTGGTTACGTCAGTGATATCACTCGAACATGGCCAGTGAATGGAAAGTAAGTCAGCAGTAGGTTGTGATGCTTAAAGACAAATAATGTTGATACAGAATATCTTTGCATTGGTGCATTACAACGTATGCTACGAAGTCTTCACTATGATTGTTTTCTAAATTCAGACCTTTAAGTGGAATCCATTTGTTTCTTGAACATTTCTCCTAGATCTGTTTCTCAGTTTTTATCTTGGATATTTTCAGGTAGTATAATTTGTTTTGAAATCTTTCATGTCATGAGATTTTAGAGCCATTAAGTAGTGTGATGGTGTTTTTGAGAATTATTCCAATGGCAAACCACAAACGTATCTCAAAGGCATATTGAAACCACCAAATGACCATTGCTAAATCGATTTCTCACCTTGTTTCAAGTGGGATTAGTTAGGAAAGCTTTGTCACATGCCTCTGGTGAACGAAGAATCCAAAAATGGAAAACATTCTTGATGAACAAAACTATATCAAAACATCTGTTTTCCAAACTCTCCCACAACTCGTGCAGTATAATTCAAGTCCTATTTGTCAGTCGTATGCGCAGTGTTTCCCAATCAGACAGACCTTTCTGATGGGGAACTAAATGGAAAGTGAAACTTATCTAAGTTCTCTTCAAAGCCAGACTCCATTGACTAAAACAGTAATTGCACCTTGCTGAAGATGGGAGCTGCTGGTCTACCACTGCCTCGATCGGTTAGTTAGTTTGTGATATTGTGTAACATTTGTGTTTAAAGGGTTAGTTCAGAGTCAGAAAAGTCACTCAGTAACAAAATTTACCTAACTGATCAAGGGAGTAGCGGACCAGCAGCTCTTGTCTTCAGCATGGTAAAATTACTGTTTTTGTCAATGGAGTCTGGCTTTGAAGAAAACAGAGACAAGTTTCACTTTAAGTACTGTAGTCTGTCAGAAAAAGCTGTCTGTTTGGGAAGTACTGAGCATATGACTGGAAAAATGAGGCTTGAATTACACTTTACGAGTTCTTGTAAACAGATGTCTAGATATAGCTTTGCTCTTGTTAGACCCGGTCGCCTATGGCACCGATTCATCAAGAATTTTCTCAGTTTTTGGATTCTTCATTCACCATGGAGGCTTTTGAGAAAGATGCAGTTTTCTTCATAAATTCAGTGCAACACAGGGTGGACAGTTGATACACAAATGATCATCTGGGGTTGAATTATTCCTCTAACAGTCTGCTGTTCTCACCAGCTCCCTGCCAGGTTCAGCCCTGCCCAGGCTGAGATGTACGAGGCCGTCCTGGAGGTCCAGCGCGCCTGTTTGTCTCTGTGCTCCCCGGGCATCAGTCTGGATCACATCTACAGCACCATGCTGGCTCTGCTGGGACGACAGCTCAGGCGGCTAGGCATCATCAAGGCCAGCACCACCGATGCTGATGTACTGAAGGTAAAAATGATAGAAACAGAAGTAGGATGGGTTCCGGCTGGTTAGTCTCGCCACCAGACAATCAGAGATCTCCGCCCTTTGATAGGCCGGGGACGCTCCTTTCTAAAGTGTGTTTACCACACCGGAGAAAACGGCTGGCAACAAAGCAACGGCTCTTGCATTTTTTGAAAGGACACGCCCTCCCGGAAATGTGCACTCCCCCTTTTCTCATCCGCAAGGAAACAAACAGAGCTTGAAAATGGATGCCAAGAGATTTAACTCAGTTTTATCAAACGTGTGCTCAGTCCACAAGATTGTGGAAACGAGGGATTTACAGCGACTTTGTTTAAAACTTTTAACGCAGTTGGACTATGTTTACGAGCACAAGAGTTCAGCGAGCCAACGAAGGACCACCCTGCGGATTTACTATTGGTTCTGCAAAATAGAGAGTTTTTTTAAACTATGAAATTGTATCCGCCCATCTAAACACAAAATCAGGGAGAAAGACATCAGTCTTTAGTTAAGCAAAGCATCTGAAGACTGATTTGTGAGTCTACCGGCTGGTAGACATATCTGAGTTTTGTCCCATATGAGGAGCACTTTAGTCTTGTAGAAACACTGGACTTAATGAATATGAGCAAGGAAGGAGAAGAAGGCAGCAAATTCGATTCAGAGCAGTATTATTTTCAAAGGCAGCATAGTTAAATGTTGAGTGTTTGTGTTATTGTGTATGTGTGTGCCTGGATGCATGTGTGTGTGCATGCAGACCAGCAAGCCTTTCTGGAGGTCAAGCAGCAGGTTGGGCAGACCAGCGGAGCCCCACTGGAGGATGGCCTCTAGTTTTGAGGTTGTGAAAGGCAAGCCAGTAAGTGATGACCTGGCTTTAAGTCAGAGCAGGATTCTTGTGACAGGACTGGGTGGGTGTTGCCAGAGACACCTGACGAAGTTCGAAACAGCTGTACTGCATTAACAGCTAGGGTGATTCGTGGCAGCTGTGTCTCCAATGGCAGTGGGTGTGTCACATGCTTGGTTATCCAGTTTTCCTGTAGAACTTCTCAACTTCCATCTTCTCCAGTTGGATTTTTTCCAACTCCACCAGTTTCAGTTTCTCCTCCATGAGGACAGACTGGAGGGGGTCAAGAGCTTCCCTAGTAGCCTTTGATGAGGCTCTGCTTCTCCTAGAACCGTAGAAGGTGTGGTTATGGCGTCCAGAGCAAGTAGAATGAGAATAGCTGCAGGAACCACTTCCTGGGTTCTGTACAGCTCCACTAACAGTATTCTGTCCATGTCGAACACTCACTGAAGAGGTGATGTAGTCTTTGAGGTGGGCTGGTGGATGTCTTGGTCGCTGAGCTCTGCTGCTTCCTGATGGCATTGTTTTTGGCTTTTGGTGATAGCCAGCCATGGGCACACCAAAGTATCAGGAAATTAACTTAAAGGACACACACATTGTGCCAAGAAGGCAGCATATGTAGCCTCCGATTATTGGACAGCGATGGCACTTGTGGCAGGAGTGTTTGTGTCATCCTCCCTGCCTTAGGTGGGTCAGGCGATCTCTTCCTGGGGAATTTCAACTGTTGCTGCAAGTACAAGATGTTTCCCAGATCCAAAAATTCAGCTGCTCCTGAAAAATAAAATGAACAAAGGGTCTCTGATAAAAAAAGAAGCCCAAGATAATATTTCAAGTTACTAACATGCCTTTTTGCTCACAGACACATGCACTCACACACAGAATTTTGTATTTTTTATGTTGCTGAAGTGAATTTAAATCCAGCCCTGCCTGTTGAATGTCAGTCAACCACACCAGAGGGGAGATAATATCAGATTATCACTGTTACCATGTCAGCTGGGCATTGAATTTAAACATTTTTGTTGGAGTTTATTTATGCCCTCACTAGTGGTTTGCGGTGAGGAAATAGCCGTAAGCTCCTCTGGCCAATGTAAATTATGAAATTACCTAATTACAGCCTCCATGAAACACAATATGCTCGGTAAACTTTATGTAACAGAGGCATTCCTCTCCTTCAGTGGTTCTTTTTCAGAGAAATAACACAAGAACGCCAAACCATAGCTGAGTGTATGTTTACTCAACTGATTTATTTTAATGTTAAAAGGAGAATTTAATCACCAAGAAAGGCCTGGGGCATGTTCAATATCAATATCAACAGTGTGCACCATTTTGCTGCAGTTTCTCGGTTGAACAATATAATTCCTTGAAACTGTCTGAAACAGGCTTTGAGATATGCTTTGTCTTGTGTGGTGGGTGTGTCAGAGGTGTTACCCAATCAGCAGTGATGTATATATAAACCCTGCAATATTAAAAAGTCAGTGTGCATGATGCATCTAAGTCCTTTAGACATGTCTCCACTGCAGCTTGAGGTATGCAACAATTGAAGACATTACAAGAAATGCTATCAATATTTTTTGTTTTTGTTTTTTAATAGAATAAGCTGCCTTCTCAGCTGCCAAAGTTGCAATGCTTGTGTGACAGGGTGTTCAATGCATTTAAATAAACATTTTGATATGTTTTACGGGGGCTTAACGCGCCCCTGCAAGCTTCAGGCCACCTCTTCTGCCTTGTTAGCTTTAATTTTAAAACAAACTTTTGATTCTATTGTATGTAATGTGTTTACCTGTAATGTAGTTGTCCAGATGCTCCTGGGTTCAGTCCTGTTCTGTTAGTGCATGTAGAGCCATGTAAGCCACTGTGGCATATCATGCTAGTTATGTTTATCAACAAGCTGTGAGAGCTGCGGGTCTGCGGTTAGACAACGGCAAACTTTGATATAACTACTTAAAGCTTTACTTTTGTTTATGCTCATCCCAGGCTGCACGGCGGTACTGCCCCCACCATGTTGGCCATTACCTGGGCATGGATGTCCATGACACACCTGAGCTGTCCCGCTCACAACCTCTACAGTCAGGAATGGCCATCACAATAGAACCAGGTAAAGACAAACTAGTCTTTTGATTTTTTTCTGTACAGCTGTGGCTGTGTTAATCAACACTCTGGGTGATAACAGGTTTTTAAAATCACAAACTGTCATGGTTTGGTGCAAGTTCAGTACAGCAGAAAAAACAACAAATGTTTAAAGATACATTTATTTTAATTTCTATTGAACTAACATTATTGCAAGTGTCAAATCTCCTTGCTGAGGACTGAGGGAACATCTTGCCAACTGGCAACTTAAGTAAACAATTTTCTTTATTAAAAAAAATACAAAAACATTGGAACAATTCTGCATCACACTTTACAAATACTGAACAAACACTTTCCCAAAAGGCAGCAGGTCACAACAGTCTATAAAAGTGAGAAGCATATCTTGGTAACTGGTAGCTTTGTCACCTTCTACCTATGCCAGTCCTCAATGCCTATGTTCAGTTTCCCATAGATTGACCACGTCAGTGAGTAAAAAAACATGGGACAGACAGAATGACTGACTGACAGTTTCTGTGGTTATGTACAGCATACCATACCATGACTTAGTCATAGCAAAAATTAGAAAACAACAACATTGGTCCACAGGGGGAGCCACAGCGATCGGTCGCATTTTAGCCATTTTTAAGCATTTTTCTGTTGTTATAGCGCCACCCAGTTGACAATTAGAGTTAAATTTCTCAAGTCACCTTGAGGCGTCCTGTTCTACATATCTACCAAGTTTAGTAAAAATCCATATGGCAGTTAGGCCTAGATAAGAAATGAGCTCTCTAGCGCCCCCATTTTGTTTGATGGGGTCAATAATGGAGGGGTCCCCTCAGATTATGTGTGGTCACATGACTACAAAGTTGCGTGGTGATGGGTGAAACCCTTGAGATGTTATACACCTTTATGTGATGAGCCACGCCTTCTGCAATATTCATTGCCTTATAGATGCTCAGTTTTAGTAAGTTTTCCAACTTTTGCCAAGAGGGAACTTTAGATATTGGTCCCTAGATTATGTTCACCCAGTTTCATGCAGATCGGTCAAACTTTCTAGGAAGAGATCAATTTTAACCCTATGGGCACGAACAACGCATAGTGCATCCAAATTCACACCTGTTCTTCTCTATTGATTTTCTCCACAACTGTGCGTCATAGCGAGAAGCCACGCATATCACGTGAAACACCGGAATTGTAGCTTTCCAACAAGACCAAGCACTTGTCGGTAGTTTTCACAGTGAAAAAAATTGATAAAGTTACACTAAAATTATGTATAACAGAGCTTTCATACAGCTCTGCACACACGTTACTCTTGGATGGATTAATCACGAATGCAGGCTTGCACAGAAATGCCACGCATATCACATGAAAGTGCAGGAGCAGAGCTTTCCAGTGATATCACACACATCATTGTGCTGTCATCCCATCATGCTATAAATCCAGATTAATTGTCTACAAAATAAAAACCTGACGAATTTCTTTACAATCCATTATACAGATCTTGTTATCAGTCACTTCATATAGTGAGGAGCATCGTATCTTACCATGTCTTAGGCTTGCGTGTGTTTCTCCCTGTCTATCCACATTTGTAGTCCGGCTTTCAAGATACAAATACCTCCATATTGTCCAGTTGACACTCCATCAAACTTTGTATGACATGACCAGCCACTTCACCTTTGCGCACCCAGACAACTGCAGCCTAATGCATGCTGACAGGGCCATAGTCACCATATACATTGAGGGGGACACGTGCCCCCCCACCAATGCCCAAAATGTCTCCCCAATATACAACTGAAACTGAAAAACAAATATTATCTTGGAGGACATCATTGCACTTGGTTGACTATTTTTATATGATCTTAGATGTAAATATTGCATGTTTCCTTCAGATAAAACACATTTTTGACTTGTGAATGAGTCAATGGAATTTCTTGCAATAATGAAAAAACACTGGCAATCATGTCCGCCTGGCACAAACCACATGTTTTGGACAACTGTGAAGTGACAGAATGTCCCACCATCATGGTTCTGATATTGCCAGATTCCACAGAGTCCCCCCTCTTCATATATGGTAGAAAATGTCTTTTTCCAACTTGCTATGGTGAGATACATGTAAAAATGTAAGAATTTAATATAAAATACAGGCACATAGAAGGACATAAAATGATGGCTAATCTGGTTAGCCCAGATTGTCCTGAAAAAAAACAAGATATAGCATGTGTATGTAGCCTTTATAATGACTGTGATATGAGCTTAAAAGTAAAGGCAGTAAAAATACCCCCAAAACGCCTAGGGCCCATAGGGTTAAAAAGTACCGAAATAAGATACCGTTTGGTACCGGTACCGAATTCCAGATACCGGTACCGGTCATTAATTTTCTTGCATGTCATGTGAGTGGAATGTTTAATAGCTTGTAGGTAATATTAATTAGCCTATTAATATTAATATTAATATTAATTAATATTATTACTTTCATTAATGTTGTTGTAAGCTACTGTCATTACTGTCTGTCCTGCATCTCTCTCTGTC